ACCCTAATTCAATACAAATCAAATAAAAACAATACACTTTGCAAACTTGTACCTTTAGGATTAACCCACACTTGTTGCCTTAGAATAAACAGTCATGTCCCTCGAACGTGGGATATTTTAGCAATGACCCTTGAATACAAGATCGTAGTCCCTCGATGACCCTTCGATGTTGCCTTAGGTAAACGATCTTGGTCTCTTACAAAAAATTACTAAGGTATCCTACAATGTTTCCTTATATGACTGTACGATGACTCACGTTCGTCTCTTCACATCTAATGATAAGGCTTCTTACCAATTAATGATGAGATAGAAATATGTAAAGGAGGAGGAAAAGAACAAAGACTTTTTGAGTAGGTAGAACGCTCGTAGTTGCTTGCTCACAAATAAAACCATCTCCACACTCACACTTTCAAAACATCTTTCTAAAAACAAACATCTTTCATGAAATATTTTCAAAATTCAACACTTTGTATACATTCTTATAGAGACGGGAATCATTACAAAGATCGCCTAAACAAAGGAAATTTTCAAAAATACTTTCAAAACACACCACAAACACATTTTACAAAACATTTCAAAGTGAGCCAGTAACTAAGAGCCCGTAGATAACTACAGATGAAAAGAGTGCTAACACCTTCCCTTTTCATAACCTACCCCCCGAACTCAAGAAAATTCTCAAAAGGTTTTTCCTGTTCTTTTCACCCTTTCCTTTATTGGATAAAAGAAAAACCAGTGGCGACTCTTGCTATCCACAACAATTACGATAAAATGCAAAACACCCAAGTCAGTTCTCCCACCGTATTACAGACCTGGCGAATCTGTTGGACACATACTTAAAAGTGGGGTTACCTTAGAGATTAGATCATATTTAAATGATTTCATTGTTTGACTTGCTTGCTTTACTCTTAAAAGGGTGTTTGAGTTTTGTATAGATCCTGTACCTGGATCTGGGGGCATTTTTAGGTAAGTAGAAATAGACCGTGGGGACTGTGTGGTGTAATACCAACACGGTTGAAGCGATGATTATGTTAGTGTGGCACATTTGTTGGTATTGGTGTCCCTTGAGTCCAGTTAAGGAGAATACGGGGCCGATGTATGGTGTCATAAAGCACTAACTAACCGTAGAACCTTTAGTTGAACAACTTAGACATTAAGAAGTAGTGAGGTAGCCGGCTTTGATGCAATCCAAAGTTGGTTGATAATCGATACTACGCTCATTGAGATCAGACTTTCAAAATATTTCAGTCGCTAATAAAGAAGCTTGTGCTGAAACAATGCCTAATTAAGAAAGATCAGTGATATTGAGATTCCTTAGAACCCAGTTACGTACTAGGACAGGTTGAACCAACTAAACTTTAAGAGGGTACTTACCTATGAAACCCATGCAAGCCTAAACCTAAGATCACTGTGTGATTTGTTTGTGATTAATTATTCATGACATCATAAACATCATAACATCATAAGTGTTTTCACTAACCATTTCAAGGATTTAGGAATTTATCTTTATTTTATTTTGTAGGACATGGCTTCTACTTGTAGAAATACCATATGAGTCAACTTCGTAAGGGTACCTCCTCAACTCAAGGAGTTAGCATCAAGAGTTCCTGAAAATTCTCCATTCACCAAAAGATATGGTCGACTTCTCAACCTGGCTACCTCAAGCTTTGATGAAGACATGTTGAAGGTGATTTTTCAGTTCTTTGATCCTATGCATCATTGCTTCACATTTCCCGACTATCAACTAGCGCCCACAATGGAAGAATTATCTCAACTGCTAGGATTGCATGTGCTTGATCAAATATCATTTACCAGTTTAGAGGAAACTCCAAAGCCTAAAGTTATTGTCAAGGCCTTGCATTTGAAGAGTTCAAATATTGTAGACAATTGGAAGACGAGAAGTGAGGTCAAAGGATTTTTGACTAAGTTCTTGATGGAGAAGGCTATGTTATTTTTGGAATCCATGGATTTGTAAACTTTTGAAGAAGTTTTGGATCTTCTAATCTACAGTTTGGTATTATTTCCTAACACAAACCAACTCGTAGATGTGAATGCCATCAAAATTTTCCTTACCCGCAATCCTGTACCTACATTGCTTGGAGACATTTTGCACTCTCTACATACTCGCACTATAAAGAAACGAGGAACTCTTATGTGCTACTTTTCTTTGTTGTCTAGGTAATTTATTTCACACCTCCCTCGATCATATTTGAAGAATGAGCAAGGCCTAAGGTGGTCTCAAAAGTTGATGTCACTCACACATTCCAATATCCATTGGTGATCTCGATCTCAAGAAGACATTACTATTATTTACCATTGTGGGGAGTTATTTAATGTTTCCCTCTTGGACATTAGGGGAGGTATCACTTATAATCCTTCATTAGGCGTACGACAGTTTGGCTATGCTCGAAGAGATGGTCCCCACGATGCACTCATTCAAGGTATTATTTTCGACTATGAGAATGATCACCAAGGTTATCATCAAAGGTTTGTGCAAGCTTGAGGCATGGTAAGTGTTGTACCCCAAAATTTGCCCTCTCAATTTCTCAAGAATTCTCTCACAAGATCTCCATTGGGTCAAGACTGCACAAGGTTTGATCAGCTCAAGACACCTCCTCGAGCACTAATGACTCAAAATTAAGGTTTGTGTTTGTATAAGGACAATTGGGCACCCCATTCCGCCATATCCTTCGCCTGCTCTCTCGTCCGGCGAGGCTTGGGCAACTGCTTTTGCCTGGTGACGCAAGAGGCTCATCCGGCGAAGCGTGTCTGACAGCAACATTGGTGTTACAATTTTTGCACTGAACCAATCTCAAATTACATACAATTGCACATCAGAATAGTCCTCAATTCACTAAAAATCAACACTTAATCATACCACAACAACACATCATCATACATGTTATAGACATCAAATCACATGAATCAAACACTTTAAATTCATCATGCCAACAAAATTATCCCAAACCCCAAGACAAACCTAAACTTCTATCAATGGTGATAAATAAATTACTTCTACATAATCATCATTTCACAAATCCGTAGAGAGTTGAAATCCCACCCATACCTTAGATTGACAGTTCCTGAACTTCAATAATGACTTCCTTTGCCCTAACTCTTCTCACTTCTCTGCTTCTGCCTCTTTTCAGAGTGCGATCATTCCAATAATATGACTTTCACTCTAACTTTTTCCTTAAGTTCTCTTTACCCCTTGAACTCCTAATATGGTATTTCCATCTTACCCTTACTTACTCCATTTGACATTACTATAATACCCTTAACATCTCTACATCTCATATTATCCATATTTAATTATTAAAATAAATTTAAATAATTATAATTATCAAATATATCAATAATTCTAATTATCTTATTTAACCCCAACACTACTCTACAACGTGACAGCAGACCACCGATTAAATCACAACAACACAACAACCACAAGGATGATTTTATCATCTCATATACTCGATTAACTCCTATAAAAATTGGGTTGCTAGATGAAAGTGTAATCTCATGTGCTTTTCTATTGTAATTGATTTACAACTAATGAAGTCGTGCTTTATTGATACAGAGATTGTCACTTTGCTCAAGAGATTTGAAAAATTATCCATATCAAGTATATTCAACGATTCTTCTTAGCAATATACGCTTAAAGATTGGATAAAGAAATTGTTCACGCTTAATCTGCTTAAGTTTTTCTTGTTGCTTTGTGGTGAATATGGAGATGAAAAAACCATAAAAAAATTTAATGACAACCAATGAAAGAAGTGTGATGCTTAGATGCAATCATACATTACATGATGATATAGATCATTATCTGCTTGACAAAAAAACAATAGACAAGATCGGGAATGGAGTGTGATGACATACTCCACATTCAGGTCTTGTAAAATTAAATATCGATACTCTTGTGAAGGGATCAGTGCCACTGGTCTTATTCATGATGAGAATGGTAACACGTTTGAGGATTTCTCCTCAAATGATGATCAGAGTTATGTTTTATTCACTAAACTTTTTACCACTTACTATAGTATGACTCTTTTGGCTCTAACATTATCATTTAAGAGTCATCATAGAATGAAATGACCTGCATGATTTTATTTAATTAAAAATATAAAAGGATTTAAAACAAGCAAATTGATTTAGGGGTAATGGGTATGCCCAAGTTTGGTCGATTTTGTGATAATGTTTAAATTGCCTAATTAATAAGAGGCTGGACAGATGAACACACCAACATACATACCACACACGATTATGATCAATATAAACCTTAATCGATATAAATATTTGGCTATCTCTTCTGGTAGATTTGCTTCTGCTAAGTTTCTAAGCTGCTATACTGTAAAAAGAACATTATCTGATGATCATACAAGGTTGGTATTCATAACATGATTTCTAGAGCTTTGTGTAACTCAAGCTTAGCTACGAAAATTTCATTGCAGGAATGTAAAATGCAAAACTGACATCGTGAACAAAACTAGACATTGCAGACTGAAATTCACAGAATTATGAAATATTAATTTGTAAGCACAGTTGTGAAACATGAGTAAAAAATAATAGTGATATCATGGCAAAATTCAAAAACTTATACAATTAGAAAAAAGTTATAGATTACCTGTCAGATATCTAACATTCAAACTGAAGTTATGGAGAAAACGCCTTAACTACAATTTATTAAGGATGGGAGGGGACTCACTGGTGACCCTCTACTTGTAATAACCCAAAACAAAACATAAACATTTCTATTGCATTCATGATCTCACCATATTAACTTCCTATTCTCATTCGCAATATATGATTTTATATGCCAAAAGAAACAGCAGAAAGAGTGAACAGAATAGGCAACAAAAAGGAAGCTTGCAAAAACCTAATATTGGAATTCTATAGCCGTGTCCTTCATTGCAGCCAAGAATCAACTAATAAGATGACTGCAAATGTTACATGTGAGCTAAAAAATGCTTCGGTGCAGCAATAGCAACCACCAAAGATGCAATAAGTAGTTACTTGGATTTCTTTGGTTGTAGTTCAGAAACCCTTTGGCCCATAATTTTACAAACAGCTTCATCTTTTGAGTGAAGAAGTTTTAATGCAGGATGAATTTTGAGATCGCCCATGAGCACCTTCTGGCCCACATCTAACTCACTTAAATCCACTTCAATATATGGAGGAATAATGTCTGCAGGGCATAGGTACTTAACAGTCCTTTTGATGGTATTCAAAGAAGCACCTGCCAAAATTGTAAAGTGATGAATACTACTCAGCCAAGTAAAGGCGATTGTAAGAATAAAACAAAATGCTTTGTTACTAATGTAAAGATATTAATACCGATACCAAAGTGTCCATCCGTATCAGTTTAGAGTAGGGGGGTCATACAGAAAAGTCAGAAATGTTCAATACATAATTTTAACAGAACTTATCTTCTATCCTTGTAATAATAACTAGCACAGCAGATGCTTAATATGACAACAGACAGAATTGCATGAATCAGAACATCTTCTCAACCTTGTCATTCCAATAAAGAATAGCATTAAAAAATTCACGATAATAAAATATTCCTGAATCAAATGGATACATTTACTAAGATGCTCGATATTGTTCTTAACCTGAGTAAACCTTTATACAATTATTCATCAGTTGGACCTCTGGAAATAGCAGAAGATCAACATTTATTGGAATTTAGAAAATATATAAAATTAATAGCTCCACAGCAAGATAATTAATTAATTAAATTATCACATAAGGTAGATGGGAACACATAAAAAAACTCACTACTCCTATATACTATGTATAGTAGGGTAGCTCAACAAAATTTGATCAAAAGTCATAGTTGAAATTGGAATAGAAAGACTCATGTAGCAGAACTCAAGTCATCTGCACTATTATACAAATTTATAAATTCCAAATACAAACGGACATCTTATGCAAGAAATATGGAGATAGATCACTATAGCACATATTCTAAAGAACTAATGACATAGATGGCTCTATTTAATATAGCCATTTTACAGGATAAAGTTTTGATAACTAAACCATTAATAGTGGAGAGTGGAGAGCTTTCTTCTAAAATAATATTGATTGGAATAATAGTAAGTTACTAGATCCCTTGGCGGTTATGACTTTTCAGCCATATAAACAGCTTCTCTGTTCATAGTAATGTTTTGTACATCAAATTCTCACTAAACCACACACCGGTAGAACCCGAACAGCCGCACTAGAGCATTCTTAGTTAGAGTAGTTGAGCTTTTAAATTTAGTCATTAAAACACAAAAGGAATGTTGGGAAGAGTTTATTGTGGTTTATCTTATATCACAAAAGGCCTTGTTTAAATGTTTGGAAGAGCTTATAAAAATAGTTTACAAGATCCACTATTTACACCTTGGTTTGATAAACTCTATAATAGTTTATAAAAAGATCTTGCAGAAATCTCCCTCACTTTCATTTTCGTTGGTATAAAGTACAAACAGCTGTAACCACTCAAACAAGAGCTTAATTAAGTTATTTATCCAAACACCTCCTATGTCTTGGATCTATTTATCTACCAAATACTAACCACCATGATAAAAAAAAATTGGACATAGCCCTGTACCACACTTTGCTATACATAGCCATATGAAGAAAGAACTTGAACCTTTCTCATAAAAGTTAAAACTCATTGCACAAACCACCTAGCATAAAACCCTGTACGCATTAAAAGGCTTATCTATAACCACTCATATTAAATGGTTATTGAATAAGAGTATAACTAAGTTGTTTACCCAAACAACCTCGAAAGTCTTTGACATATTTATCTACCATCACGATAAAACAAATGGGGCATAGCACTGTGCCATATGGAACAGAGAATTTGAAACTTTCTCCTAAAACTTAAGACCAAATTGCACAATACCATCTGGCGTAAAATCCCATAAGCATAAAATTGAACCTAGACAAAAACTGTAGACTTGGCCTGTTCAGTTTTGAAGCAATGCTCATAGAATTTGATAATGATCATTGAGTTATAGGGAACTTTGTATACTCTAAGCACAAACTTCTTTCTCTATTGACTCTAAAATTTAGACAGATGAGAAGTGTGTTAAGCGCAATAGTGAAAGATAGGGTTTAGGGTTTAGGGAACTTTGTATACTCTAAGCACAAACTTCTTTCTCTATTGACTCTAAAATTTAGACAGATGAGAAGTGTGTTAAGCGCAATAGTGAAAGATAGGGTTTAGGGAACTTTGTATACTCTAAGCACAAACTTCTTTCTCTATTGACTCTAAAATTTAGACAGATGAGAAGCGTGTTAAGCACAAAAGTGAAAGATGGGAGAGAGCAAAAGCTGGAGTATTGAACTCTTAAAGAGGTTTCGTATTCAATTGACACTGATTGAGAAGATGCAAATACAAATTGTTGGTGGCAACTAACTAACAGCAAGTAACTTACTAGTTGTATCAACAACTAACAGCAAAATGAATAATGGTACACTAAAATTTCACAAAAATCAAGGAAAGGTGGTGTCATGCGGTGAGTATATATCAAATTTAATTTACTCATGAAAAACAAAAGCAAGAGAACAATAGTGATTTTTCTATATGTATTAAACTAACCTTTCTTGAGTCCAGGGGATATATCATCTCCTATGAATACAATAGGAATATCAACTTTCAACCAAGCATCTGACGGAGCCCTTATAAATGTAACATTCAAAGGTGCATCTGTGCCAGCTTTCAAATGAATCTGTCGAATTTCCAATAAATTTCATCAATTTCATTGCGAGCACAATTGTATTCAAAAATTGAAAACACAAATCAAACGATTCAAGAAAAATTAGTAGAGTTCTAATTGAGTAACCCAGCCGAAATCAAAACGCAAATAATCACGAAAACAACAATGCATACACTGCGGGGCAAAACGCGAACGTTTTCAATGATATCGTCGACGTTAGCGTTTGAATCGGAGTCGAATTGGTGAAGAACTTGTAGATTGAAGAGACGTGAGAGGAAAAACGAGCGTCCGAGGTGGTTAACGAGCTTCCTGATCTGATCGGAGCGGACGGAAATGAGGCGTTTGTTACCGCCGTGCTGGCCGTCTTCCTGTTCGAAGACTATGCTCGGAACGCGGCCGACTTTGCGCTCCTTTGCCGAAATGTTCTTCCCGGAATCTCTGCGGGGGATAGCGAGGATGGTCTCGTCGTACTTAGGTTCGGGTTTTGGAAAGCCTGGGAGGTAGGTGAGAGGCTCTAGGTCTGGCTCTGGAGGGTGGAGGATGGCGGCGGCGGAATGGGAGAAGGGGCGGCGGTGGAGGAAGGTTCTGATGAGTGTATGGCGGGGGAGATACATTGTTAAGAAGAAGGGTTTTGGGTTTGGGGTTTTGGTAGTGAACTGAAGAGTTAACAAGAGAGGGTTCTGTTATGTGCCTCTTGTGAACCATTTCTTTAGATTGTTTAGGAATTTTGTTTTACACATTGAATACAATTAATTAATCAATCCTGTCTTTCAAATCAAATAGTGTTGGATATATTGTGTTCATAAGTTGTTTAGGACATGTTCAACTAAAACATGTTTTAAAAAAATTGACAACATAAATATTTTAGTGTAAGAAGTGATGAAATTGACTTTAGATACGATGCATCACATCTCGTAGTGGATCTGACAATCGGTGCAGTGGAGAGGAGATAGATTTACAAAATTTCCACTCCAATAGTCAAATCAATGAATGAGTGAAAAATAGTTTTAAAGTGGGAATAAATTGAATACCTAAAATGATGTGATCTAGTCTTTATATAATATGAACTGTTAAAATCATTTGTGTATGACTCGACGCCTTGTGCGGATTGTAGTTCAATTAGATTCAACAGTGGGAGATGTGATGGAGGCGTGATCGCCTGTCTTCGACAAGGATGAGAGTTCACCTGTTTTGTGCGTCTTGTTCTTCATCACTTGTTATTGGATTTTTTTTCTTAGGTCGCATGGGCTGTACAAAACAATTGTTTCCCAAGCCCTTGTTCCTCGTAGAACGAGGGTATTGTAATGTTCATCTTCAGTTTGGACTCTGATAGGACGAAATATAAGAGCCTTGATGAGAAATTGATGTATTTGGGAAGAGGTTCATTAAATATCTCTCTCGTGATTAGCAATGTTTCACATGCATATTTTTTACACGTGCCCCTAAGTTTTACAATTATGATTCATTCTAGTACTAGGGCATTCGAGTGTTCTTAAATAGTGGTGATGAGATCTCGATCGTTAGTGGTGCAGTTCATGTTTCTCAACATAGTGGATTGCATGGTTCGTCTTCCTTGGAGGATATATACTCTATGGGCTTACTATGCTCCCCATTTTCACCATTTGTGAATCTTTAAGAGCCATTCTATCGTGCTACAACATCTTTTATCTTCGTCAATCTTCTTTCATTACCCATTAATTTTGTCATACTTGTGTCACCTCTTCTAGCAGAGTGTACAACTTGTGGGTCACTACGTTCATCTTTTTCAGAGTAACGTCTGAACCTAGACTTCTCTTTTCTTTTCATACTCGCTTGTTTTATTAGGGTTTCTGGAGAACAGAGCCATGTATTTTTAATCTTTTTTATTCATACCTTGGAGAATTTTATTGCCACAAGTGAACTTTGGTGGGGGCGTAAAGTTTATATTTATATCGACCATGTGCTTCTACTTACGATCATTTCTTTTATATGTTGGAAGTCTCTTTTAAAGTAGAAAACTCTGAACTCGGTGCCCATAAGGAAACATGAGATAACACTATTGTGTTGGTGGATCAAGAGATGCTAAATAACGTTTCTACATTGGTTGGTGGGAGTGGTATGGATCACACCTTTACTCAAGTGGGTCCCTCCTCATACTAGGGAGTGCTTTCTCCCGAGGGGGATAAGAGAATTTGTAGCAAGTATAAGAGGGGTGTCATCCTTCTCCACAAATGCTTGTTTTCTTTAATAGGTTTCGTCCTTCCCTATAACGACTTTAAGGTGGGTGTTCTAAATCAATCAATAATTTCTCCTTCACAATTGCATATGCTGAGTTGGGCTTAATCAAAGTCTTTGAGTACGAGCATGAATATGATAAAGGTGCATCGTTTGTGACATTCTTCTTCCACCTTTTTAAAGCCCAACGGAGCTGTGCTGATTCGGCTTGGGTCATGGTTTGATCTCTCTTAGGCAGAGTACTAAGATGTTTAAGGTTTATTCAAAGAGTGTGAAAAACTTCAAGGACCAATACTACATGGTTATCCCTTATTGAGGTAGCTCGTGCTAACATATACAACATAAACTTTGATCTGCCTTATCAATGTTCAGACAAATTCTCCAAGTTTTGGCGTTAGATACATTTCTTGGTAGATGTGGGTCTTGTGTATATATATTGGATGATTTGTCATAGGAGAAAACTTTATGAAGATAAAATTGGTAGACTTCTTTGAATATTTGGTCTTAGTTGATAACATTTCTACTTTGGGGTTGTGCTAAGGAAACAAAAAAAGTGGTTCATAGAAACATGTTTGCTAGTGAAAGTTGCTACAAAAACGAATAGGCATCTTTGGTGAATAACGAGGGATACTTCTTCTTTTCTTAGGTATTTCTTAGATGATTGTTATTGCCTTGTCTTAATTCATCCCTAGCTTATGGATAAGATGAAATATATGGCACTTCAGATAAAGGGGACGTACGCTAGGGTTTCCCCTTTGTTTATGATTATTTATGTTGCAAAAACTGCTAGAGGAGTTCCACGTAAATGGTCCCCTAGAGGTTTGGCCGCGGATAACCTTCTTATCCTAGTCCAATCGAAAGTTCAGGATTCTTTGGAATGAGTTGTGGAAAAAGGTGTTGTATGCTCGTTGTTGCTCTTAACTAGAGGGAGTCAAATTACCAAGGTTATTATTGGAGCCCCCATGAGGAAGGACCTCATGTTAGACGACTTCAAACGCCCAATCAAAACTTAGGGAGATATGGCTTTAATTTATGCTTAACATCGATAATGATTGCATTACCATCTTCATTTTTTGCCTATTCTGGTTTGCAAATGGCTAAGGAGTTTTGGTCTTATTTTTCTGAGGAGGATTACACATATTTTTGGGCCAAATTGAGGTTGTTCGCCAAGAGATTTGGTCGAGCTGGATTACCAAGCTCTTCAGGAGTCGATGGTTTTGGCCTTTGATGCCATCGAAAAGGGAGATGTTTTCTTGGTTGGCTGTCTTGGAAGGTTTTGTACCCCAAAATTTGCCCTCTCATTTCTCAAGAAATCTTTCATAAGATCTCCTTTGATTCAATACTGCACAAGGTTTGATCAGCTCAAGACACCTCCTCAAGCATCAGTGACTCAAATTAGGGTTTGAATTTGTACAAGAATAATTGAACTTTCAAAGACTCAAATAACTTTCATGGATCATTTTAGACCCTCAAGATTGCTCATGTCAAGTTTCAAGTCTTAGATCACATTTTTGCCCAGTCAATTGATCAGTTGACCTAAAATCAATTGTATTAGGGAAAAAGTCAACTATGGTCAATTTACAGTCAAACTTCATAATGTTTTATACATATCAACATAAGAGACTCATATATGTCAATTGATCAAGTTTGTATCACAATTCCTCAAGAAATTTGATCAGATCATCAAAAGGGCAAAATGGTCAAAATTAGGGTTTTGACTGAGAAGGTGCAATTTTTGACTTTTGACCTAACCAATGACTTATTGGTTTAATACATGATCTCAAGGATTCAAATACATCATTTTGACCTAATGGCATGGCTCAAAACATTTCTCAAGATCAATTGATTGATAGTTGAATTTCAGCCAACTGATGAAAAGTCAACTGTACACTGAAAAGTCAAACTTTGACTTTTTGGTCAAAAACAAGTTTCAAAGATCACTATTCATCAATACTTGTCAAAATATGAAACTTTTTCATCAAGAAATCAAAAAGTCAAATTTCACCTTTGAAAAGTCAAAATTCTAAAACTTAGAATTTTTTCTAAGTGTTGAAAACTTCACTTTTTCATAACTTTGAGCCAAATTTCCATCATGATGCAAGATGATTCAAAGGAAACTTCCAACATTAAAGTTGTATATCTCAATGATATCTAAAACATTGTAGGGCAGAACGTTTCCTAGAGATGCTTGGATTTCAAGTTATGAGTTTGTGAAGACATGTTCATGAAATTTAAAAGACTTAGTGAAATTTTGCCCTAGTTAGGCAGGATTTTGACCTAACTTCATGGAAATTTTTCACCTAGTTCCAAATTGAATTTTCAAAATGTCTAACATGAAGGTTGTAGGGGATGTTACAAGCTTTCCAAAATGTCCAATAACTCATTGAGATCATACTTGAGCTAAGAGAATCAAAGGCAAGGAGTTAGGGTTTCAAACTTGAATTACAAGTCAATTTTGTGATGAACACTTGATCCAATATTCAAGCATGTTGTACAAATGCTACTTTGCAGGCTTCTAACTTTCATTTCACTCCATAATTAAATGTCTACACAGCTGTTAGAGCTTTAATCCAAGCATTCAGTGCATTGTCCATGCTTAATATTGTAACACCCTATTTCTACCCGGGCGGATAATAAGAAAATCAGAGTTCAACATAAATAGGATGCTACATTTTCAACTGAAAATCAATCTTCATTTAATCGCATACAAACAGATACATAACTCGGATGAACCGATAATAATCTGATTTATTCTTCAAAATCAAACAACTTTTATTGATAAGCAACGAAATATACATACTCAACTTCAATTCACTTAACATCTTTTATTCAACTAAAACAACCTCAAAACAAAAATTATTTCATGTAATCAACATAAAAATTGAGCAACTGAAATAATAATCAACAACTAAACATCAAGCGTTCATCCCCCCGAGTGCTGCATATCAGAGCGACAACACCGACTTGAACTAACTAGGTAATAAATATTATTCCTGATTACCTGCATGTTACCAACAGAGGGCAACATTCAAACAGAAGGGGTGAGATATCCAAATATATAATTAGTCATATGATAAATAATATATTAAATCAGATCATATAAAATCACCACTTCACAACTTACAAACAACTTTAATCACAATAAAACATCAACACGACATAACTACTAAACTCACATCTTTTAGATAATACTTGTCACAACAAGTCAACAACATAAAGCAACAACGAATCTATCTTTACCCAACTCAAGATGCAACATGAAATGCGACTCAATCATAATGCACATGCATGTGGTACCATCGGAGCAGAACTCCCAACTTAAAAATTGCCAATTAATAGAGGCATCAACAAGGCATAAGCCTTCTTCGCAGTTTGTCAATACAGGTCATCACAAAATCTG